CCTCCTCCTCCTCCTCCTCGTTCCTTCGCACCCTCGCCATCAACCATCGTCGTGATCCGGCCGTTAGAGACCCGACATGATGCAGGAGATCGTACACAGCCGAAGCCGCAGCTGCAGCCACAACTGCCTCTGCCGTTGACCTTGCCACTGCCCACGCCGCACCCACACACCAAACGGCCGCCGATCCCCCCGGCGAAGAAGCCGGTCCCCTCGCTCACCAGGACCGTCCACGACAGGTTCTCCGCGGCGGCGATGCAGAGCTACGCGCTCGGCACCCCGACAGCAGACCACCTGCTGACGCTGACGAAGCTGAACGTGTACCGGGCGCTGGTCAGCAACACGGCCACGCTGGGCATCCCGTTGTCGCAGATGTGGGATGACGAAGCGCTCTCGCCTTTTACCCACGTCTTCCCTTTACCCCCGATGGCCAAACCACAAGATGGGAAGAGTCTCCCCCTCGCTCTGCAGCCGACCGTCCTGCAACGTACAACACCTCACCACCCGTGGATCGACTTCTTCCCGCTCCCACGCATGCGCGACAATCTGATCCGCGCCCTGTCCCTCTACGACGAAGACGCCCTCTGCGTCGACATCCTCGGCTTCTGGGAGCCGGGCTCCCGCCACAACGCCCTCCTCGTCTGGGGGGATCCCGCCGACCCGCGCTCCTGGGAGGTCTCCGAGTCCTTTCTGCGCAACTGGCGCTGGGTGCTTCACGGCTGTCCCGAGCTCTTCCACTCGACCAATTACTGGCGAGCCAAGCGCGGGGAGAAATCCATTCGTGTGACTTGTTAGCTGGGATTTTCCTTTTTCCTTGACTCCTCCTATCTCTATTCTTCTCTACAATGTTTACTCCTTATGCAGGCGGCTTACGCGTTAACCGGATCAGGGTAAGCCTGTCAGCGCTTATATTACCACTAATACCATATTACACAGTTCATACGCAGTAAGTACCTAGGTAGTTACCTGGTATTTCTATATCTAGGTACCTAGGTAGTTAATAGGTAGTTAACTACTATACTCTATACTATTTATCATAAAGTAATATATTTCCCTCTTAGCTCTTTAGCAGTCGACTGTTATGTTCTGTTATATATTAATAGAAAACCAGTGTAATATCCGTCCAGATGCCAGTTCCTAGCTTGATATAATAGATATTAGATCAGGTTTGTCTACTGTTTATCTATCAGCAGTTGTCAGGTATATCTAATATTACTTACTGTATTAGATATATTATAGGAAGACTCTCTATAATTCTTAATAGAATGTAGAGAGAGACTAGGGCTGAAAATACTCTCTCTATATATAAGCCTATTCACTATGGTCTCTACTCTATTGTTCACAGTACATTCTTTAGATTTCTTCACTGTCTATAATAAATATAAATGGCCTTAATGAAGACATTAAAGAGCTCTATATAGTTTAATATCCTTATTAATTATAGCGCAGAGTTGCTGCCTGCCTAGGGATATTTATATTATCAACACCAATGCCTTTTGATCTTGGAGGAAGCTTTTTTAATTATAATGGATATAAGTACTTATCATAGATACAACTCTACTAATATTGATAAATAAGACTTACTATGCATAGGTAGCCTACAGCTATACGCTATGTGTACAACAGTACTGCTATACAGACGGCAGAGTTCGCTCTGCCCATCAAATGGTAAACTCAAAAGCGTACGCGGTCGTCTCGTTCGGACTGACGTAAAACACCAGGGTGCCATCGGAATAGTCGTGCGGATAGGTGCCCTGGTTGACCGGGCTGGGGACATCGCCAAACACCCCGTTGGGCCAGTTGAACTGGTAGGACTGGATGACGATGGTGCCGCTGTCGGGCAGCCCCAGCGCGGCCAAGTTGGTGACGGCAATGTCCCACGTCCCCGCCGTGAGGCGCGAGCCGCAGAGCATACGCACCGTGGTGCCGTCTGAGGTGGCGTAGATGTCGAACAGCGCGTCGGGCGAGCCCGTCGTCGCGAGCCGCTCGCCCGTCATGTTGAGGTTGTAGTAGCGGTACACGTCGAACTCGCCGTTGCCCCAGTAGCCCGTCGAGACGGCGCAGGTGTCGGCATCGGTGCAGTCCTCGGTGGCCCCGGGCTTGCCCAGCAGGTTGGCCAGGTAGTCGTGCAGCGAGTATCCGATTGCCCAGTTGCCGCGCAGGCCCTGCGTGTCGTAACGCTCCAGCCGGCTGACATACCACACAATCGCCCCGGGCACCTGCTCGTCCTCGGTCGCGTACTCGTTGATGTTGACGGGGCTGTACGAAGCCCCGTAGTAGGCCAGGGTGGCGTTGAAGTCTTCCAGGTCCGTCGCGATGTCGTAGCTCGAGGACTCCTCGTGCCAACAGTACAGCTGCGGCTCCGTTCCGTCGGCCGCCACAAAGGCCAGGAACTCGGCCCAGAACGACTCGCCGACGTACGGCCGCGAGGCTGAGCAAGGACCGATGATCGGCATGTCGGGGAACGCCTCCTTGACGCGGCGGTACCCACGCGCCCACATGTCGTAGAACTGCGTCAGGTTGGCTTCAAAGGCCGTGTCTGGTTCGTTCCAAATCTCAAAGTCGAGGGCCTCGGTCATCTCGTTGTCCGTAAGGGCCTCAAACAACGCGTCCAGGAACAGGTCGTACGACGTCCAGTTGCCGTCGTCTCCAGGCAGCGGTACCACCGACGTCTGGTCGGCTCCCCACAGGTCTGCCACGAGCAGCTGGAAGGGGGCGCCGTACGATCGGGCTGTCTGGTAGTTGCTCAGCGCCGACGCAAACCGGTTCTATGTGAATAAGCATACATCTGACAAAGTCAAAGTATACAAAGTATATAAAGTATACGAGGCACCTGACGTATTCAAGGAAATAATATACATAAATCTCTATCAGCTCACCTCGAACTGCGTTTCCCCATATACCCAGCCCAGGGCAGGCGACGGGAGTCGGCTCCCCCCACCACGACCGTAGTTGAAGCCCATGTCGGTATAAAACTCAGAAGGGATCTGTCCCTGGGCGTCGGGTATACCGTACAGAATGCCGGATGCCAGGTGGGAGGGTGTCCCCCGGGCGATCGCGGCGTTGACCGTCGCCGTCCCTAGGATGTCGCCCTGGGCAGTCACCGTGGCAGCATAGAGAGTGGAGGCTAGCAGAAGGGGAACAGTATTCATCATGGTTATTCAAAGAATTGAAGCTTTAAAACATCCAATCTAGTTCAACATATGCTCTAGAGAAGCAGTAGTGGCGGTGGGAATATACCCTGCTTTAAGTACCACTATTTCTGCAACCCCCACCCCCTTGAAATCGTCTCAGTTGGCAATCCGTACTCCGTGAATATCAGATCACTGTTTGGGGCGGAATTGAAGTCCTCACGGAACGAATTTGCGGGGGAGGGAGGAAAAACCCCTGCATATTGCTCAACCCCACAGCAGAAACTCCGATGGGGTGCAGAAATGATGACGAATGTGTCTGACTTTGCAGATTTGAACCCGAGTATGGGCAATTCTTTTCTTGACCAGCTGGGGAGCCGTTTTCAGTTGACACTCCTTTGCTGTGATGAAGACAGAATGAATAGATCAATATAGCATAGAGACAAGGGGATAAAAGAAAAGGCAGTCCTCTTCACAGCAGCATTTCTCACTGTCAACTTCAAACAACAGCCAGAGCAATGTGCTTCAAAATCAGGGCTGAGATCGAGGATCATTATTCCCGTGTTGCCCCAGCTGGCACTGATGCCAACACTCTCAGCGACGCATGATGCTGCTGCCTCTGTGGAGGCAAGAGGAAAAAAGAAACCTCTCGTAAATCCCCTCAGGCTTCAAAGGAGAGGGAATGCGGCAGCTGGAATTCATTCAGAGCTTCGACTAAGAACCACTCACATCCTAGGGAGCCTGATGTCAAAAGGCAAGCAACTTGGGTCATTGACATAAGAGATACGTAGGACGAGACTGGGCCTCCCAAGCTCTTCAAGAATCGGCGATACATCCACAAGATCGAACGACTCGATCAAAAATACGGTAAATCCCCGGCAGCCAGGGGAGTTCCTAACCCAATTGTCTTTCATGAGCCTAGACCCTTCGATCCAGCGGCGTATGGTAGTCGCCAGGACAGGATACAATTCGGCATATACCGAGTTCGTTGTCGGTGTGAGCATCTATGGACCTCATTATAGACCGGAAACTCACCTGGTTCCCACGCACTGTCTACTACTTTTACTGAGCGCGACTTCGTACTTTTTTCCAACTTGTCTACCCGCCACATGGAGTATATCAGGCCACTGCCGAAGATACCACCCTGCACGTCAATAAGACACCCACTCGCATGTTCAAAGGTACCTTGGGAGTTAAAACGCCATGGGGATGGGTGAGAGATGGTTCGCAAGTAACCCTGTTCATCCAAGGGCACCTTAGTCTCGCAGGGACATGCGCTAGTCTTCGCGACATCTGCAGTCCGCTCACTTAAACAGTAATTAACTCGTTAGCTGCAGTTCTGGCCACCTTCTGATGTCGCTTAGGACAGGAACACAGACATCCCTAATGCATCGGCGATCCACCTTGCGCTCCGGTTCTATGTGATACTCCCATTGCTTGTGGTCGTGCCGAACAGCGATATGGAACCCATTGAATTTCCAAACAGCACTATCCCAAGTGTGCTCCGGAGTAGAACTCCGTCCCTTCATCGGCAGAATAATACGACGCGAGTGGAGACTGGTGGGTTTCAGGCACTTTTCGGGTCTGGAACAGGCTGTTCGGCATTAGCTAGTGTGACCATCAATAGACCAGACAACGCAGTATAGAGTAAGACTTTGACTTCCTAACTATGTGCTACATAGAGCCAATAGAGTTAGTTATCTGTAGTCTCAGCATCTTTGACCAGGGGTAACTCACCAGGCGAGTAAACAGGCAGCAACGCAAGTACGCGGCAGCGAATACGCGGCAATGAGAATGACTAATGTCATGGAAGTCTAGAGAAGACCCCTCCAGCTCGAAGCAACAGAACTGACGACTAATGACACAGATGAGGGGGGGGGGAGGGGAAGGGGAGTTGACGGCAAGAAGGAAAGGAGGGGGAGAAAGAGTTGCCTGGATGGGCTGACAGGAGAGTTGCTGTTTTGGGCGAACTGCTCTAGTTCTCCGCCCGCGGTGTCTCTCTCTGTCGTCTCTCTGTAGTCTCTCTGTGCAACTCCCCGTGTTTTTCCTACAGCAACCTCCAGATCCTGAACCAGCTCGTCAGACAGCGTCGTGGGCGTTCCGGGACCTTGGTCAGCCTGCTCTCGTGACTTTCCTTTGCTTGCTGTTCCTTTTATTTTCTTTTCCGGATTGTCAAATACCCCTCTCTCCCTTGTTCGCCTCCCCGCTTCCCACCCGCCCTGTTCTCTCCCAGCTGCGTGGCGATCAACGGAGACATACGATAGGGATCGGTTCGACGCTTTTCTGGCAGGCGTTTTAATAGAATCGGTCGTCCAGATTGAAGTTGTCACAAGGCCTGTGGTTTTTTTCCCAGCTCCGCTGACCTTGAGCCAATCCCCCCCCCCCATCGCAGAGCTTCCCCGCACGACGACTCCAACACCATGTGAGATTAAGAGAAGCCCTTCTATCGTTCCAGGGAGAGGGTACGAGGCTGACTGTATGTTTTATCTTTTAGGCTTCTCACAGTCAGCGTTATCCGACCGGACCAGGCCGATTCGGACATCATCACACTCGAGGTGGGCGGGGACATGACCGTGGAGCTGCTCAAGGCGATTGTCGAGAGCGAGACGAGCATTCCTCCTCAGGTGCAGCGGATTATCTACAACAACCAGCTGCTCAGCGATGACTCGCGCACGCTTGAGCAGGTGGGGATTGGGGAAGGCGACATGATCGGGGTCCATGTCGGTCTGCGCGGGCCACCTCCGCCCCCTCGCAACCAGAGCGCTGCAGGAAGTGCTGCTTCTGCTTCTGCAGCTTCTGCTTCTGTTTCTGCTTCATCTGCTGCACAACAGCAACAGAGTCTTCAAAGGCGGCAGCAGATGACTCCCGACCCGGAGCTGATCCGGTTGCATATCCTCGGCGACCCCCGGGTCCGCGAAACGGTGCGGAGACAGAACCCAGAGTTGGCCGCTGCGGCGGATGACCCGCAACGATTCCGCGATATTCTTCTGGCGCAACAACAACGTGAGGCGAGGCTCGAGGCGGACAAGGAGGCACGGATTGCCATGTTAAACTCGGATCCGTTCAACCTGGATAACCAGCGGGAGATTGAGGAGATCATCCGTCAAAACGCAGTCACGGAGAACCTGCACAATGCGATGGAGCACCATCCAGAATGTAAGTCGGACTCATCTCGTCTCTTTTTTTTCTATTGGAGGCTTGGCTGACCCGGTCTTACAGCCTTTGGTCGCGTGACGATGCTCTACATCCCCGTCGAGGTCAACGGGCACAAACTCAACGCCTTTGTCGATTCCGGCGCACAAGTCACCATCATGTCGCCCCAGTGTGCGACGGCATGCAACATCATGCGCCTGGTCGACTCCCGCTACGGAGGCATTGCCAAGGGAGTGGGAACGGCAAATATCCTCGGCCGGGTACATTCAGCCCAGATCAAGATCGGTGAAATGTTCCTGCCGTGCTCCTTCACCGTTATGGAAGGCAAACACATTGATCTTCTCCTCGGACTGGACATGTTGAGGCGACACCAAGCCTGTATTGACCTCAAGCAGGGGGCCCTCATCATCCAGGACCAAGCCGTGCCCTTCCTTGGAGAGGCCGATATCCCCAGCCACCTCCTGGACGAGTTCCAGGATGAGCCTACCATCAAAGGCGCCGACGGGGCCGAGATCGGCGCCCGCACCGGCGCTGTTACTCACCAGGCCCAAGGTACTGGCCAGGGAGTCGGTCAGAGAGCCAACGCTCCTCCCGTCACAGCGTCAGCCTCTGCTTCCTCGTCCGCTCCGAGCACAAGAGCCCTCTCCGCACCCGCGCCTCCGCCGACGCAGTCCTCGCGCTGGCCGCAATTCTCCATCGACAAGATCACCGAGCTGGGCTTCTCCCGGGAAGACGCCATCATTGCATTAGACCAGGCTGGTGGCGACATCGAGATCGCCGTCGGTCTCTTGCTGTGATGAATGGGTGCATCTGCGGGTCGAGGCTTTTTGTTTTTTCCCTTTTTTCCACCAAAATTATTCTCAATGGCGTTACGCCAGAGCTGGAGAGTCCATCTCGATCGAGACCGACGGTGCCTGTGTTTCATCTTTATTCTGTTTTTTTTTTTCCCGGACATCTTGCATCTGGTCTAGAGGCGTTGCGTGGCAGCCTTTTGAATCTATGAGCAATCATATACATCAATTTATTCATTTCAGTAGAGAAGAAAATGCAGACGCTACTAGAATTGAAGCCATCTTTGAAGACAGACTGCTGGGACGAGGCTTAAGCTGTAAGTTACTTTGGATTTCTATCATTAATAACGGTGCTCATTATCCTCTGACAAGTCCACGTATCACGCTTTTTTCTCTTGAAGAAAGAAAAATGAAAAAAAAAAGTCATCCGAGCAGCATCATCTATTCCCATTAGATCGCTTTGTGACTGGAACTAAACGAATCCTCGCCAGGAAAGAAATCTATAACCAACGAAAAAAAAAGAAAAAGAAAAAGGAATCTAGAAAGAAAGGAAACCATAATCCATCGTCTATAGCACGAATTAAAATGTCTGGTAAGAAATGGGCGAAAGTAGGACTTTGAACCAACCGGGAAAGAATAAAGAACATCATGTAAACTGATCGTAGACGGGGACGGGCTTCTCGGCCAGCGCGGCAAGACGGAAGATATGTCGCGGCTGGGCGCCATGCTCCTCATCAATGTAGTCGACAATCGCAGAATCTAAACCTGCATCAATGGGGGAAGGTGGAGAATAAAAAAGGGTGTTTACTTACGGATGGTGGAGCGGTTGTCGAAGATGACGATCGTGCGAGGCTGCCAGCGCACACGGGCCTGGAAGTCATGCCCCGCGATGAGATGGTTGAGCAAGAAATCGAGCAGCCACGCCTTCTCGGCCTCCTTTAGACCAGGGACGTGAGTGATGAACTCGCCGTTGAGGAAGAGGCACCTCTCGCCCGTCACCGGATGGACGCGCACAAGCGGGTGCGTCGTCTCGACGGGGTCTTTACGCACCAGGCCCCCTGTCAACCTGGTGTGATCGATCATCTTCTGCGAGCTGTGGACGGCCTCCAGGGTGTCTAGCCACGCGCGTAGAGTGGGGGAGAGACGTCTATACAAGTGTTAGTCATTCGCAGTCCCTTGGTGGATTTTTTTTTTTAACTTGAAACTTTTGACACATACTTATAGGCCATGTCCGTCGCCGCGAAAACAGTGTCGCCGCCAACCTCGGGCCCTTGCAGGAGCCCTAGCATGACGTACCCCGGCGGTTGAATCTCATAGCTGACATCCTGATGCCACAAGGTGGTGGTGGTACGGCGCTCGAGGAAGCGTTCGATCTCCTCGCGGTTGCCGTCCCGGTGGATGATATGGAAGCCAGGATGGCCCCGGACGGTGCCGGAGACTGGCTGGTAATTGGGCTTGCCAAAGTATCGCATGAAGGCTTCCTGCGCGGCGGGGCCTGCGTCGATCAAGTCCTGGTCCGGGAAGGCGACAATCTTGCGCTCGGAAACCAGGAGAGCCAGCTCATCTTTGGCTGCATCTGACAATTGGCTCAACTGCACGCCATTGACGACGCTTCCCAGCGCCGGCTGGATGTGTGACACCGCCACGCCGGGCGTGAGCAGGTTGGGCTTTGACTTGTCCGTGACGCGCAGTGCCGGATCTTCATAGTCAAACGCCGGTAGCGGGTCGAACCAGATCTTGTCCCAGGTGGGCAGGTATTCGGGGTAATTGGTGTTTGGGAACGATTCCTTGGTAACGTCAACGTATGGGATGTTGATGTCGTAGCTGATCGGAGCGGCGGCCTTTTTGGACTGCTGACCCGGTGGCTTTATCGGCCGCAGGGGAGGGGCAGAAGATGGCATTGTAAGGATATAGCTCTGTGCTGTTGCAACGTCGAAAAGATAAGATATCTGGGCCTGGTGTTCAGGTCAAGCCAGCCGAGAACAACTTTTCACACAACAGGGAATAACAACCTCCGAGCAGTTTGACAAGGATGGTCTCGAAATGGAACAAGGAGGAACAGGCCAGGGCGAGGCGTTTTAAATAAACTCGCGGTGTCCCTCAAGCTAGGTGACGGCCAGCTTTTCATCCGCCGCCGCCATCAGGATATAATCCATGACACACACGGAACAATCTTCTATTAGATCATTCATGGGGGGGGGGGGGGGCTTGATGGCCAGTGCCAGCCATGCGTGTAACACGGCTAAAACCAGGCTAGGTCTCCCCCTTCTCATCTCCGGCCCGACAGATTCTCTGACGCTCCTCAAGGTTCATGGTGGCCGAGCGACAAGCGATCCTCTCTCGCTTCTGGCAGCAGGGGGAAGGACAGAACCAAAAACAATCCCCTCCCTCCCCCCACGCAAGAGGGATGGAACCAAGGACAAGCCCATCATCGTCCGCCATGATGGTGGGTGAGTGCAGGGTGAGAGAGGGGCAGGAGGTGGAAAAAAAGATAGTCGGAAAGGAGAGAGAACCTTGTACACAGTGCATCGAATCATCCTGACTGTCGCCAGCCCCGAGAGGAGCGGTCAGAGCTCGTCGCTCGCTAGATTGTGGGCATCGGACTTGTTCTGCAGCCACGCTAGGTTCATATACATTCCATGGCTTCTATATCGGACGGGGATACGGGAGCAGATCTGCCTTGGGGCCACTATCACATCCAAACCTGTCCTCTCTGGCACAGGGTATCAAGCGACCGAGTGATTGGGCTGTTGCAAATACTCCTGCAGACCTAGATACGTAGCTAGTAGCTAGCATCTCGTTATACTCTCCTCACGGTTCACTGTACGGTCCCGGAGAGTTCCGGGACGCTGGCTCGTCGCAGGTCGTCGCAGTCATCATATCCGGGGAGGGGGGTTGCCTATTATTCACCGCTCCAAGACGCTCATTGGGCGAGTAAACCGATCATAATAGAGCCAGGTGGTCACAATTGGAACTTGCACAGGTTTAGAGAATTCGTGCAGCCTCATTGCCCTCTTCCCCCGCCCCCCAAAAAGGATTCTGCTGTTATGGCCCGAATGGGCTGGTATCTTACCTCGGCGCTGGGGATTAATTAAAGCAAGCAGGCTTCGCTATCTCGCATCCCTCTTGCATGGCGTTATTTGACGGCGTCTGCTCTACTGCACTCCTGGTGGTGTGGCGCACCGCACGACAGCGATTTGCAGCTCGGCTCTGGCCTGCAATTGGTGAGGGACGGGGGCAAGATAATAGCTTGATAATGTGCTCTGCATTTAGATTGACTGCGTCAAGACGTGCTTTTGTGGCCCAGTCGATATCGCAAATCGGTCCATGTTGGCATTATCCTTACCCTTACAGTACTGTGCAGATCCGAGATCACCTTGGGCAGCGATCGTTGGCTGTCCCCGACAAAGCTCCGTTCTAAATAGTCAATACCCACCAGGGCACTGAGGGCAGGCTGCAAATGCATGAGGCCTCTCCTTTCGGTTCCCCACAGTATGACGCCGATGGAGGGCGACACTGGACAGAAGGCCATCATGCCAAAATACGATAGGCCCCGCCGGCTGGGAGAACCTTTTGCGCCGCATAATCACACCCGTTTCAAGACACAGCCAAATGAAATCCGTCTTCATTTCGGCGTTGATTCTTTCCCCCACAGATTGACGGCAACGTTCGTGTGTGGTACGGACTCCGCTCCGTGGTTTTTTATTTAGTTTGATTCCAGTTGAACGACGACGCGGCAGCCTCATTTCCAATGCCATCTGGACACACCGGGATACCACGGCCGTCGGACTTTGGATACGTCGAGTCATGGTGCCGATGGGAGAGGGCTCCGCTGTCCTGCCGGTCTTGTTTACAACCAGGTCGTTCATTCAGTGTTCACAGGCACGTAGCAGCCTGCAACAGGGTGCACTGCAACGGCTTCGACTCGCTTGGCTTGGATCCACTCCCCTGACGCGCCGAGCATTGAGCGGTGAGGCCGATCCAGCATCGACGTCAAAGCGACGCTTTCCATCCCTGACACAGCGTTCTTTGTTCTTTTGCCCCTCCCCTTCCTCAGATGCAAACTCGAGTGGAATCGTCCTCGCCCTAGGTGGCAACGGGTTGTAGGAGGATAGGAAAAACGTTCTGAAGCGGCCGGTCTCGGTCTTGGTCAACTGTTGCAGCCAGGGGGAGGGGCGCCACCAACCGTGCTCCAAGCTCTTATCGACGGGGGGGG